ATGACGTTCCAAAACGATGTAACTCCGCGCGGAGATATGACGTTCCAAAACGACATAACTCCGCGCGGAGATATGACGTTTCAAAACGACATAACTCCGCGCGGAGATATGACGTTCCAAAACGACGTAACTCCGCGCGGAGATATGACGTTCCAAAACGACATAACTCGGCGTGGAGATATGATGTTCCAAAACGACATAATTCCGCGCGGAGATATGACGTTCCAAAACGATGTAACTCCGCGCGGAGATATGACGTTCCAAAACGACATAACTCCGCGCGGAGATATGACGTTCCAAAACGACATAACTCCGCGCGGAGATATGACGTTCCAAAACGACATAACTCCGCGCGGAGATATGACGTTCCAAAACGACATAACTCCGCGCGGAGATATGACGTTCCAAAACGACATAACTCCGCGTGGAGATATGACGTTCCAAAACGACATAACTCCGCGCGGAGATATGACGTTCCAAAACGACATAACTCCGCGGGGAGATATGACGTTCCAAAACGACATAACTCCGCGCGGAGATATGACGTTCCAAAACGACATAACTCCGCGTGGAGATATGACGTTCCAAAACGACATAACTCCGCGCGGAGATATGACGTTCCAAAACGACATAACTCCGCGCGGAGATATGACGTTCCAAAACGACATAACTCCGCGCGGAGATATGACGTTCCAAAACGACATAACTCCGCGCGGAGATATGACGTTCCAAAACGACATAACTCCGCGCGGAGATATGACGTTCCAAAACGACATAACTCCGCGCGGAGATATGACGTTCCAAAACGACATAACTCCGCGCAGAGATATGACGTTCCAAAACGACATAACTCCGCGCAGAGATATGACGTTCCAAAACGACATAACTCCGCGCGGAGATATGACGTTCCAAACCGACATAACTCCGCGCGGAGATATGACGTTCCAAAACGACATAACTCCGCGCGGAGATATGACGTTCCAAAACGACGTAACTCCGCGCGGGGATATGACGTTCCAAAGCGACATAACTCCGCACGGAGATATGACCTTCCAAATCATCACGGTTTTTTTTTTCAAAATCGAGGTCGGTGCGAAAATCGAAACTTTTTCGATGATTTTTTTTTAATAACTCAGGTAAATAATGTCTGATTTTAAAATGTTATACTTTTTTGAATGCGTACGGATCCCTACCATCAATTGGCATTCAAACAAATTAATCATCGATGGGTTGAAAAATGTTGTTGACAAAAAACCGATTCTTTCGTAAATTCAACCTTTTTGATGATTTTTTTTGGAATATTTCCAAATAATGTCCAATTTTGCAATTTCATACCATTTTTGACTCGTAAGGATCAGTTCTATCGATGGGCGTTAAAAAAAGGAAATCCAAACATTTTGACCCAAATCGACAAAATGGCAAGGGGTTACATCACGCTTTTTTTCAAAATAGAGGTCGGTGCGAAAATCGAAACATTTTCAATGATCATACCCAGAACCCATCAAAAATGGGTGTAAGGGTATATTGTATTTGTGCAAAATCCAAATGTATGTAACAGGAAGAATGAAGCTTCTCCGACCCTTCTTGATCAGCATCAATAGCGGAGTCGATCTAGCCATGCCCGTCTGTCTGTCCGTCCGTCCGTTCGTATGTATGAACGCAAGGATCTCAGAACCTATAAGAGCTAGAGACTTGAAATTTTAGATGTAAGTCCTCCTAGTGCCTGCGCAGATCGAGTTTGCTTCCGATAATCGATAACTTACTCCGTTTCCAAGCAATCGGTAAAAATCGATATCGATATCATGTTTTTGGGAAATTTTGGTAAATAATAAGAGCTAGAGTCACCAAACTTGACATATAGCTTCTAAAATAGAATATATATGCATTTGATGTTGGAAGAAGATGGTTCAGGGTATTCCCTAGTCGGGAGCTCTCGACTAGAGCCTCTTACTTGTTTATTATTACATGACTATGAATTAGTATGGAAAAACATGTATAAGAAAATATATACCTGTGGTCGCAGAGTCTATTAAGTTTCAACATTTGTTTTTATATATATAGTGTTCTTTTGTCTGTGAGTTCTCATATTTTTTTTTTTATTAATTTGGAGTATTTTGTACAGTATATACTGGGACGGCAAGAAGTAAGCTAAGTAAAAAACCACCGTCAACATCTTAGAAGTCGTAGAATAAATTTCAAGTTGTCTGTCAACTTACGCTCAATTTCGTTGGACAAGACCGTGGGAGCTAAGTTGAAACAGTAAATTGCTACTGAAAAAGTTGTAGACTTCAAACTCAAGATGATTGTACATTTAAAGAGGGCAGACAATCTCGTAGATAAAGTGTTCTGCTACATCTTTTTTACACTTTTTAAAATTAGTTACACCGACTGTAACAGTCAAGAATGTCAGTATATATTCCTCCATAAGTAAACGCGATTGTACTGTTTTTTCTTTTTTTGTTAAAATAATTAGTCTTTGTATACATTTAAAAGAAGTTACTTTTCATCAAATGAGACAACGAATAAGTATATGTGCACGTCGTCAAATATAAGCACAACATTTCCTTGAAATAAACAAGTAAATTCGGAAGACCGGATCATTACAAAAAGAAACAATCTGTAGTTGAAATGAAATAGTCAAAAGTCTTCAATGCCAATTAAACTAATGAAATTTCAGTTTTATACGGATTCTATGGATGTACTATCCATATTATATCTCAAGTTAAGTGTGACAGAAAATATTGATGGTTATAATAGATATCTATGAAAAGGAAAAGTTCTCCGAAAATCGCCCGAGTTTCCAAAAACGATAAAATTGTTCGAACAATCCGTGCTTTCTGTGATAATTTCATCTGCAATTATAGATAATTGACAGATAACGCTTGTATAAAAGTTTTTATTTTACCATTCGTATGTCTTCAAAGTCATTTGAAAAGATTTAGACTAGAGTGTAAGATAGGGGTAAATACAAAATTTACATAACAACACGTGCGGGATCTGTGGAACTTTGAATAAAATTTGGAGCAAGCGGCAAGTATATTAAATTATGCTATTTATTTTTTTCAATATTGTATTTTGTTTAAATAAATGTTGTCACTTCATTTGCTTTAAAGAAAATATCAAAAATTGTGGTGATGGTGATAAAAATAAATTAATTATATTTGGGTTCCCAATTTTTTTAAAATTAAAAATTGCAATAATTTACATATGCCAAGGTCACCAAACTAAAAATTCGAGGGACTTAAGTGTGCAATTGTATTTGTCCTTTAAAAAAGCCCCTATCCCTATAGCAGTATATTATTTTTTCACACCAAAGATTTGTATAAAAGGTTATTGATTCGTTTTAAGGGGCACGAAATATTATAAGTGGGAAACAAAGCGTCAACCAAAAGCAGCTTATACTAAAATATAAATCTCAATAATCGGCTGCTATGACGAGGATTGCCCTTGTCCGGCTTACAGTCCCACTGTGTTGAATATGCAGAAAAGGGTAAAAGTCGTCGTAAAATTTGTATGCACGTTCGCATCTTACGTTTTTACGTCAGAATTTTTTTTTTTATTTCCCGCAGTTTTTCTATTCTTTCTTGCATTTAAGCTTTAGTAAAACATTTGCCAGTGTTAGTGGCAGAACTCCCAAGAGATTTTGTCTTTAAGTTGTCTGCCTCGTGAATATTCTTGGTATTGGTGTCGACTTTCTTGTGATTGTCTTGGCAACGTTTAAGGAGTAATAAAAATGAATTTGTTGGTTGTCATGAAAGCAAATAGACATGTGCATGCATGTACTTTTGAAGACATTTTCTTGGCGAAGTGCTATTTGCTTACCTTGATTATGATAATCAAGTAGAGTCAAGGACATTCAAATTCAAAATATTAATTTAATTTTTAATTATTTTTTTAGGAACTATTACATATGCATAGTGCGCTATAAATCTCTATAAGATATGTCGTCCCTTTTGAGTGGTTTTTAAAATTTATTCGCTCCATATAAGTAATATATTTTAAGATGATTTGATTCCATTAACACAGATTGGAATTGATGTTGTTAGAAAATCAAGCCCCACTCTTTGTTGTTACCTTTTTAAGTCTACACACATTCGCGCACGCCGTTTGCTGTCAAGCTAACGAGAGTCTACACAGCAAATTTGGTGCCTCTAGCTCCCAAAATTATTGCTTTTATATCGACTAAATGGAAATATACGAGCACATGCATACAGACCGATAGTAGATTATCGCATTGTAATATTAGCAGATCGCATGTTCACAATTTATTTTTTTGCTAAAAAAAAAGTAATGCAATCTGCGGTTTAAAAGATTTCTATGTTACATTATAAACGGCTACCAACGGATTTTAAGGTCTGGATTACCATGCAAATGTTTATTATGTATATGGTAAGTTAAAGGCCTAAATGTCCAATTAGCTTGTTGGGTATACATATATTCTGTCCGAATCTTTCTCAGGTATAGTCGTTCCAAAGGCCTTTAAGTCCAGCCATTGCAAGAAAGAAAACGCACTATCCAGCAAGAAAATAATTCACTTAAAATCAATAAAATTTGATCTTCTTTCAATAGAAATGTTCACGCTTAGTAGAGCTTCACCTGGTAGTCAGGTTGCATTGTTGGAATTGATAAGTTACTGAAGAGAACAGTGAACAGTTCAACACTTGCAAAAACATGGTATTTAGTTAGGAGTTCAAAAAAGGCAGCAACAATTGGTGAGAATATTTATTGCTAAGTTGAAGTGGAAAAGAGTGACATTGTAGCTCGCAGCAAGACGAAGGAAGAAAGCAATTTACAAATATAAAATGAGTGATTTTAGGTTGGGCGACACAGATTTGATTTTATAAAGCTATAACATTGCAACAAGTAGTAAAGGTCTGTTAACTTAGTTAGCTGTTAGCTTAGTTAGTTAGTTAGCTTAGTTAGTTAGCATACATATCAACATTATTTTTAATGAAAACTGAAAACAAACCAATTTTGTAACAGCAAGGAAAATAGAATTGTAGTACACCCTGAGGTAATTGTTTTAAGATTTTTTATATGTCTAGTAGAGTTCACATGTCTAGAAATGATGTGGATGCATTTGTAAGTATACTAAGTAATTGGCAAATATTTCGATTTATAAGATGGTATGTATGGTTCCAGATGCAGTCGGGCATTTATTGCTGGCACCAATCAGAGCATACCAAAGGTGGAGGAGAGACTAGATGGCACCGAGTGCTTTTCAGAATATTTAAAGGAAGACGTTAATAAAAATAATGTTCGTTCCACACAGTTTGCATTCCACAAAATGCTGAACCGCCAAATGTTGACAAAAACCTACCACTTACGGGCAGTATATAGGCCTCGATTACGTAAGATTTATCTCTATGGCTATCCACTATTTTACAACTGTGTTTCGACAAGTATTCAGAACAAACAATATCGACGTTCGGAAAACAATGATCATTTTCTGCACCAAGCACTCTCGGCGGATGATGCAAATCAGTTGACAAATCTACATGATTCCACACATTTATTGTATATAAATAAAAATTCAGAGGGAAATAATGTTCGTACGGCATGCATTGCAACTAACCAGTTATTTGTGCAATCGGAAAACTGGGTAGCTAGCGATTTGCTCGAAGCCAGCGAGCTAGAAGTCTTCACTTCATCTGAAAATTCCCTTCTACAACTGGACAGTGTTAATAACTTGAACGTTACGGGTATAAATAATGTATGTGGCTTATCCTTCGATCACAATGAGTGCAGATGCTGCTTATGCTTGCAAAGGAAAAACGCAATTAAATCAAGTGTTTCAAAGGCTAAACGTTTCATCGATGAGGCTGTGCAGTCTTTGCGTGCATTACCATCCCCAGCTTATGCCTCTCATTCCCGTAGAAGAAAGACGTATGTTTACCTTATCAATCTTGCTCATCTGTTACTGGTAATCGCGTGCCTACGTGGAATGCTTTAGAACAAATGTAAGTCAAAGGTTAAAAATTAATTTTGCAAAATTACTATGTATAGGCAATGTTTATCGTAAAAACGAAGATGTTAATTTCTGAAATATGATATGCAGGCATGTGTATTTATTGCACTTCAAACCTCAAGTGTTATGATAAATTATAATAAATAATTTTCTGAGTTACCGAGAACTGCATATATTTCGAATAAATATAGTTGTAGGTAACCTACCTATTAGTACCAATTATTAATCAATCAGTCTCCAGTAGGAGCAGTTGGCATAAAATAAAATTATACACGAATTTAATCACGGCATCCCGCAGAATTTGTTTGCATATTGACTACATACATATTTTGGATACATGCACTATTTTGAATATTAGGTAAATCCGCAAACTATCCTATACTGTTAAAGTATTTTATTTATATATATACAAGCAGTAAATAAAGTATAGATTCTATACAAATTTTATAATAGTGAGCTTATATGAAACAAAGTAAATAATAATACAGGTATTTTTTACGAGCGCACATAAGAAATATATATGTATGTGCGTGCGTTTGTATGTATGTGTGTGTGTATATTTATGCATTTATGTATTCATGCGTGTTTGTTTTCTAATACCAACCGCAGACCCAGCTTATTTGTCGCTGTGCTGCAAATTTAAAGAAACCGAATTTATTTATTTATTTATTTATATTCTCAAGAAGTCAAGTAGGCTCTGAAGTTTTACATGTTTAGTTAGTAGTGTAGTTTTTTTTTTTGGTTTTTGTTGTTTTTAGTAGTTGGGTTTTTATTATTTATTTTTTTTTTTTGTGAAAATTCATATGTATGTACATACATTAACTAAATCGCTCATCTGCCGGAATTCGGAATGCTTGGGTACAAGGTGTCTCCCAGTCGTGCACATCTGACTAGATCACTCTTACTAAGTTTGTATCGTATTAAAAACAAAGCCTACTAAAGCATGCTTACATATATTTACTACATTTTAGTGCAGGTGACAAGGTCGTTTTTGCTACTCACGCAAGTTAATAAAGTTTACTGCTAGCCAATTAAAAACTAACACATTTAAAATGTAGCTGGTGGCAGTCGCCATTGATTGAGTTTACTATGCACGGTAAAAGCCTAGCTAAAATTAATTAACATTTTTATGTACAACAAACTAATTGACGAGAAAAACAAGACTACTAATATAGTTTATTCCCTACGTTTTTCAACTTTTCTCAAATTTGCAACATGGTAAAGTGTACGAGTGAATAGTTAAATGCAAAATCTGGGTCTCCAGTTCTTGTAGTCATTGACATTGAAGTTTTTCAACTGACGGACAGACAAACCAATCCGTAAACACAACCGCCTGTTGATACATTTGCAAAAAGTTACTGAAGCTTTAAAATAAAAATTTTTATTTTTTGTATTTCTGTGTTTTTTTTTTTTATAACCAATCTACTAAGCTTCAAAAAGTATTTGAATGAATAATAGTCTCTAAAGTAGAGTGTTAACAAACTGAGTTATTAAGAGCTTTGTTCAAAATGCGAATGCCACCTTAAACGCCAATACAGTTCATTAAACGTAATAAAACATTGGTGAAGGAGGCTAAATCTTAAGTGTCAAGAACAACTAGCCAAAAGTATATTATACTCAATTTGCTATAATGCTGCAGACACATGTAGGGTGTGAGAACGGATGCAGTCGAACCCCTTTTGTTGTAGCAAATAATACTCACGAATACATGCACACGCAACTGTACGTGACATATGCAATGCGGTGAAGCGGAAGAAGGCAAACTCACTACTCCACAGCCACTAGTTGAGTCAGTCAGATATTCCTTAGTGTGTGTGTGTGTGTATGTGTCTGTGTTTATTGTATCTGGCACATTTCCGTTGATTCTGATGTCTGCTGTGTTCAGAACTTTTATCAGTTGTATCAATGGCCAAGTTTGTTGTTGCGTTGACAGGCGAAAGTGTCTATCATATCTTTTGTTCAAATGGCTTTTTTCAGTCACATCTCTCGACTTCGCTCATGATATCAAGAGTTCAGAATTAAATTTTTAGTTGACGGATGTCGACACATATTAGTATGGACCAAGGCTTCAATCCGGGCTTGCGGCGAACCGTTTTGAAAACGGAATTTCATTTTAAATTTTGTATATAAACTCAACCATAAAGCCTAACTAGCTGTTCAAAAAGTATCCAAGCCGAAACGCGAATAAAACCATATTTGCCAAAAATAAAAACTTTTGAGGGATATCCGGCCCCAAAGCTTTAATAACGGGGTCTCAAACAATAATGCAAATTTAGCGCACATAAAAAAACTAGAGGGTATTGGCCCGCCTTGCCCGTGGAATAAGTACACGCCCGTGGAAAATTTAAATCTACCCATTTTGGTTTTCAGTTCTATTTCAAAATACGTTTTAAGTCGAATAAAGAACCAAATGTTGGAATCAACGATTTCCGCCCGTGTTAGTCTTGCGGTGAGAATCTTAAAAAATGCGAAACTCCCATCACACGAATATTGACAAATATCTTTAAAAATGAGTTTGATGCCGATCGGAGAGTAAACAAAAAGTTGCACATAAAAGTTTTTCGCGATTTTGATGGTCGAAAATTAAAAACCAATATGGGAATAGCATTTAATATAGCTCCGATAATAGGTGATTTTTTTATAAGAAGAGATGTGACAAAAAAAACCTTCTATATATTTTCTGGGATCTTTGTTGTCTAGGTAAATTTTTATATGTTTATACTTTTATACTTCACAAAAAATTTGAAAGTCAAGCAAGGGATCAGCAATCGCTTACTTACATGTTTATTTTTTGTTAAATAGTTATGTATTTTTTCAAGCATGTATATATTTGTAATAGCTTTTGTATTTAGTTGTGCCTATAGTCAAATTTATTGGAATTTAAATACACTCCTATTATATTTGGTCGGCAATAGACCATGACAGTGAACAAAGAATCTGCTTGTTGGCCGGATGGCAGACTAACGGTCTGTCTGCATGGCCAAATGCGGTTGTATTGTGCATCAATAAACATAAAGAATGAGTACACAAGAGCCAAGTAAGGTAACATTAAAACGCACGAGTATGACGATTGCGCAACGAAGCATCGGCTGACTGGGTTGCTGAGTGACTGAGTGAGTTAGGGTATTTTAGCGCGCTTCGGCAAATGAATGATACCGATTTCCTTTAGAAAGTGCCACAGGCTGTAGTTGCTTAATAGTCCTCTGCTGGAGTGGTAGAGCTATTCGGCAAAAAATATAATACACATACTTTAAGATTTGCGTGAGGGATCTTTTAACTAATAAAAATAAAAAAAAAAACAGACAATCTCTATTTCGGCAGGAACCACTGCCATATAAACTTCTGATTGACCACCTGTTAACGGTTTGTAAACTAGAGCGGATATATGGACTAGAATGCAGGATAATTGTTTCATTTAATACTTACACTTATTTTTTTATTATTAGTTTATCATTCCTATATATTGCTGGACCATTAGTTTTTTCAAAATTTCTAGGTGTTATTCAGTATTTTGATTCACTTTTGCTGTTTTAATTAAATCAGCACTATGCTGGCGACAAAGTTTCTGTTTGAAATTTTGCACACTATTACTATTGAAGCACCTAAACAAAAATGATGTTGCACAGTATTAAAAAAAAATGTGATTGAAATTGACCGTTTGACGCGGACACGACATTCAGAGCGACAGCAATAACAAAAGCAATACAGACTGAAAACCTTAAGCCACCCGCTGCAAAGCGTTTGGCGTGTACTTCCGCCGTGAACGTCACGAATTGAATGAGCCAACAACTGATTTTCATTTATAATGAAAACTCTTTACAGGGCGACAGTAAACCCAACACGATGGCGAGGCTAACGACGACGACGCTTTTCCAACCCCCAAATACGACTGGGCATCCGAAAGAGCACGAGCAAGGGCGAGTCGCGTTGGCGGTGGGTGTCATTGAGTTTTTGTTGTGTGTTGTCTGCATGAATTTGTATGTGTGAGAATAGAAGAAATCCCTAGCGCGCAGCATTCACATTGCTTTGTGGAGCCCTATTTATTTCGCTGCTTCCCAATAACATTCGTTCTTGCTCGGCTAAATCAGTGTCACGAGCCGGGTCTCGTGTCGGCGGGGAAATTGTGCACTGGCTCTGTGTCTACCTTTATCCATTTGTTCACCGCGCTGGGGCATGACGATGACGTCGACAGCACTGCGTTTGCCGCTGTTTCACCGTTCACAGTTTCAACTGTTGCTGCTGGCGCTGTCAGGGACTGGACAGAACTAAAGCCAACAAGGCAAGGGCAACAATACTTCACGAAGCGTGAAAGTATGGAAATTCATAATTTTTTTCGGCGTATTTTGCCGACAAGCCGCCTTTCGTATGAATATAAACAAGAGGGAGAAAACGCTGCGCAGACGACATAAATCTCCGTTCAATGTAGGTTTTATTCAGTGGGTACATGATTCTGGTACGACTTAGTTTTACAACAGATAAGCTTCAGTCAGTACTACTCATATTTTGATGTGTGACTTTAAATTAGGGAGTTATTCAGAACAAGGAAGATCGAAATATTATAAATTTTTATTATATCAGCTGGTATTTCACAGTCTTACCCAGTTTACGTTTTTTGCTTTAAATTTTATACATTAGTTTTACGCCTATGGAAAATTTTAATCACCCATACCAACGATTTCCCCTGATGTTAGTCCTATGGTGCAAATCTTGAATTCGAAAAATAAACGTTCGTTCTTTGAATTAAAATAATTAACAAATAAATTTTAACAAAGATCTTTGAAGTGAGCCACAGTTCTTTCACAGTTGCGGCTGGAATTTCCAAAATCGTTAAAACGCTTCCATTAGGTTTTTATACCCTGAACCCATTAAAAATAGGTATAAGGGTATATTGTATTTGTGCAAAATTCATATGTATGTAACAGGCAGAAGGAAGCATCTCCGACCCCATAAAGTATATATATTCTTGATCAGCATCAATAGCCGAGTCGATCTAGCCATGTCCGTCTGTCTGTCTGTCCGTCCGTCCGTCCGTATGTATGAGTCAAAGGATCTCAGAACCTATAAGAGCTAGAGACTGAAATTTTAGATGTAGATGCTCCTAGTTCCCGCGCAGATCGAGTTTGTTTCCGATAATCGATAACTTACT